ACTACTACTACTACTACTACTACTACTACTACTACTACTACTACTACCACTACCACTTCCACTTCCACTTCCACTTCCACTTCGACGACGACGACTACTACTACTACTCCTGCTGCTACTGCTACTGCTACTGCTGCTGCTGCTACTACAATGACGACGACGACGACAAGCACCACAACCAAAACTAGTCCACAAAGTGGGTGGAACCGGCGCCGGCGCGTGGAACCCACAACAACCATAACCACAACACAACCACCACCACCACAAGAACGCAGCACACAACACACAAACTGACAACACAACGCAACAATATAGTTACCTGTGTGTGTGGCATTTTGCGTGGCAGGTGGTCACAGGGTCGCATTTTTTGGATAGAATGCCAGCTGTAAGCCGTGGGGACACCCCGACAAGAACTCCCCAACACTAAAACAGCAACCCCAAACCCGAGGACGTTTAAGCCAAATCAAGAACCACAAAATCCACCCCCATGCATGGCAACATGCTCTTCACCATGCCATGAGAACAACTGAATGACATGTCAGGGTGTGGACCACTCAAAGTAAAATAATTGTTGCATCAGGTAGGCAAGGTACTTGGAATGCCAAACGAAGAAAACCTCTGGTCTTCCTTGCACCAACTCCAAAAGAGCAAGAGTTGTCAACTACCGAAAGTTTCAAAGTCATGTGCTATTTGCATCTATTTGCAGGAACAGTTTGCGAAGCAAACTAAGCTGCTGGAGGCAAGGGGTGTTGACTGCTGTGTTTGCTTTGGACGATGCTTGTCCAGGGCGTTCAAAGGCTATTCAGTCGAGCCGAGGATGTCCATATGTTGGTGAAAATAACAAATGCGACGCTTGCAAGCATGACAAGTTTCTTGGATGCAACCAGCACGGCAAAGGCAGTGTGCCTCCCCACCTATTTGGGGGTAACCCTAGTGGAAAGTCTAAATTATGGGTTCAATTAAACGTGATTCTACTGCTTCAAAATGTTTGTTCAATCAGTGTTTTGGCCATTTTTTTGCCGATAGTGCCATCGGTCCACTGCCAAGATGTATGCATCGATTGTTGACATTTTTTTGCTGAGCCCAGTGGAGGATTCCAATTTCAACCGTTTGAGGCGTTGACTGCCTTTCCCGTCAGATGTCACCTTTCCCAGACGACGAGGAGCGACATGATGCTGCATGTGGGCAGGTTGTGCGGCCGCGTGTGGTCAGAACCAGCGAGCACATTTGTTTGCATCACATAGTGAAAATCGTTTGATGGTTTTGGAAGTTACAAAAAGCCGCGCATACTATATTGCATCCAGGGACAAAGTCTTGAAGCTCTTCTTTTCGAGGGAACACAACAAAGGCATAAAGCTGACAGCTCATCATTTTGACCCCAGGGCGTATCCTTGGCTCTCCAGGTCCATGTTCAGGTCACTTTCGGATCTTTGGGTGATGCCTCAATCGCACAGCAACCGATTTAGTAAAGTGCTTTGGGCATCTCCGTGCTGTGTTTCCTGTAGACTCGGCCAGCTGGACCTAAAGCATTTTCAAGTATCTCTTCGGTCCAAATAGAATTTGCAGAAGCTTCATTTGTGTAGACGAGCTGCAACAATAGCAAGTGTTGAAACACAGGAATTAATTGTAGGTTGTGGATGAACTGAAGATATTTCAAGGAGTTTGCATGCAATATCAAGGTTCATTTCTATCAAGACACACCTCTTTGCACATGTGTGGCCTCGTGCTGCAAGGTCCAGAAAGTAGAATTATCTATCTCTGTAGGCGAATCCTGGGAAGCTTGGTGAAAACTTTCAGGGAATGGAATGATCGAATGATCGGCAAACATCTCACAAGAGTTGTTGGCAAAGAAGTGTTTTCTTGCATATCCAAATGATTGATCTAGATGTAAAGCAGGCTGTGGCTTGTTTCAAGGCTCAGGTACTTGATCTCCCTTTTGCGCCACCTGTATAACCCTCCTTAGCATTACATTGGAATGTAGCGGGCATGAATGACACGCAAACACCGCTACAATAACAAGCGCAACAATGCTTTGCTTACTCTCCGCCTTCTGAATCAAGACAATGACGGGACTTGTTTATTGCACAAGCTAAGTTGGGAAAACCCTTCAGCGATCAAGCAGATTCAGACAACGTCATCGCTGAAGCAGCATCTTCCAAAGCCTTGCTTGGTCTGTCGTTTTGTTTCAACATCGTCGACTTGCCAAGGATTCTTTGATGCAGGATGGGCAGCTTGATGATCACCAAAAGAAGGAGCCTCGTTTGGGTGATGTTCTGGTATAGTTCCACGAAGACAAGTTATACTCCAATCTCAACCACTCTACTGATGGTGCCTAAATAGGATGCTACTCAACCAAAACGCCATGGTTCTAATCCGGCGTTGTCGGAACCTTACTTTGAGAAATGCAACTGCCACATTCACAACCAAGTTGATGAGGCCGAAGTTGGACTCACCTTATAAATGTCGCAACAGAGCTTCAATGTTGAGAAAGTAAGATGTTTTTTGCATAATAGAAAGGGAGCAGAGGTGTATATATTTGAAACGACCCGTGGGTTAAAACGAAACACCGGATGCGTGGTTTTGAATGTAGTGTTTCGGCTGCAGCTCATGAGCCACCAGGCCCGCAGTCCCGGGCGGCACTCGGCCGGGTGGCTTCTGTCGTGGTGGACGCGGACACCACTGACGAGCACCGAACGTACATCGCAAAAGTGCTCGAAAGAGCATACTCAAAAGATCCTCGAGAAGGGTCTACAACTCCTCCGGCGCGAGCGAAGGGCTGCGGAGGAGGAGGCCGCGGGAGTGGAAGGCCACACCACTCAGCCCGCAGAGCCAGCTGCAGGGCCTAGCAACGAGGACAAGGAGGTGAAGGGCTAGCCAGAAAGAAGAAGAGGCCACAAAAAAGAAGAAGAGGAGAAAGAAAAAGCAGCAGCCTGAGGAAGAGATTGCCACTTAGAAGGACGATTTGCCGCCAGCCGAGATTGAAGAGAAGGAGACGACGAGTTATCACTCCCCTACCATAATGCTTGAGGGCGAGGAGAAAGCTGCCAAGTCAAAAGGAAGGTCACCTACACCAGAGACCACGTGCACCGCTGCCCAGGAAAGTTGCAAAGCCCAGTTCAAAGCCCATCGAGACGCAGAAAGAGAAGAAGGTGAGGGAAAGTCCAAAAGGCAAGAAGACTGAAAGTCCCCGCCTGGTGTTGAAGCCCAAAGCAAAGCCCGAGAGGAGAAGGTCTCTCCTGATCATCCAGCCCCTCTTCCTGGTCGACCAAGCCGTGGCCAATTGTGGATTGGACCTATCAGGGCTTTCAAGAATAAGCCTACGGCCAAGAAGAAGAAGAAGAACAAAGGGGTGAAGAAAGAGCTCAAGAACGAGCGCTACTGGGAAAGGAGACGGCAACGGGCTTGGGAAGAGAGGAATCGAGGCTACAGAAGGCGCTGAGGCAGCCAGCAGTTGCAGCAGTCAGAAGAGGAGCACCGAGAAGACCTGAGGTGCTCCTATTGCAGCTGGCGGCGGATGGCAGAAGGCGGGAGAGGTAAGCACAGATGCCCTCCTGGGTTGGTCATGGGCCAACGGGTGTAGAAGCTATGCCCTACCATGGCCATGATCGCGGAGGCCAAGGAAGCTCTGCTTCCGCAGATGGGCACAGCATCGGAGCCAATGGAAGGGGCTGCACCGACCATCGTGACGCAATATGTGAGGCAAGTTCTCATGCTGTGGAATTTTGACGACTATCCATTGGAAGATCCTCCGAGGACGACGCCTTCGTGTTCGTTTCCTGCGCCTCACGGACAGTTTGGTGCGCCTGCACGCTCTGACGCGGGGTCGAAGTTCCAGTCGGAAGCTTCGGAAGACCGTACAACGCTTGAACGCCTATCTCCTCGCAGCTGACCTCCATCCCTTTTGGGGATATATACACACTTCGCAAAATCCCGCTGACCGTCCGAGTCAGCGGCCTATGCGTCGCAAATGGGCAAAGTAGGAAAGCGAGCGTTAGAAGGTCAGACGTGCGAAGATAGGCATTAACGGTCTCTGAAAAGACCCGTGCCAGGTATGATACTGCTTCCTCCAAGTTTTTCCGATGGCTGGACAACAATGATCTAACTCTTCCGCGAAAGCGGGAGCAATTGGATGGGCTCCTGGCGGAATTTGTCGAACATTTTTGGTCCGAAGGATGTGGTCGAGCGCAGGCATGTGATACTCTGGCAGGACTCCGAAACTCAAAGGGCGCCTACAGCTGTCATGGCGACTGTTGCGTACATGGGCGACTTTGGTGTCTCCCTCTTGGTGGGCTTCTACGCCATGCTCCGGACTGGTGAGCTGCTACACCTGAAGAACTCCCATATATACATGACAGGGCTCAAGGCACCGGCAGTCCTTTTTATGGGCATGACCAAACAAGGCAAACGCATGGGTGCGGCTGAGGGTGGGTGTGACACTCTCCAGTGGTGATGCTTTGAAGTGGCTATGGATCACAGCTAATAAGCCTCACGCTAGTCTTTGTCCCACCAATGCTGCATGGCGAAAACTTTTCTCCGCATGTCTCAACGCCCTCTCACTAGACCCATTTCAGTAGTTCAGGCCTTACAGCCTTAGACGTGGGGGAGCAACCTTCTGGTTTTCCCGGCACGGAAATCTAGATAAATTCACGATCGCCGGACGCTGGCAGGCAGTGAAAACAGCCCGAGTTTGTATAAACGAGGGCTTAGCTGTTCTTGCCGAACTTCATTCACCCAGCACGAAACTCAAACCTTTCACTCAGGTGTTTCACTCGGGAGTCAGACCTCAACACTTGAGCGCGAACAAGCGCAGAAAACAGGGAGACGTGGAAAGGGCAGCTGGGACGAATTTTTCAACCTTTTAAAAGGAAAACATCGGCCTAGGGCTCCCGGCCAGGCGGGAGGCACTAGGAGGTGTGAGGGGTAAGTAGCTAGTCCGGTTGGGCGGACAGGCTACCTTACTGTGCCTCAGAAGAGAACAAATGAGTCAGGGT